CCCTTGCTTTTTGCAAGCTCATACTGCAAAAGTGCATTCTTTATTTGGGATTTCAACCTTCTTGCTGCCCCCACATCTGAATAAACTCTGCATCTACTATATTCAGGAAAGCAAATGTGTACAGCTACAAGAGTCTCTCAAATATAAATAGAATCCAAGCCTATCCATCTTTAGAACAGAACAAACTCACAAAATAGCTCTCCAGAAGTAAGGGTTTCCTGCTCTAATTGGTGACCTGACTCTCACTCAGACCAATCATTTCCCCTGCTCTCTCGCACTGTCCTTTAGCTATCCACCTTCTTTGTTGGGCACTTACATGGCATCCTATATCAAACCTCGTAACTTGCTAAAGAGAAGAGAAAGAGAAAAAAAGCAAACCTAAAATTGATTTGTGGTCAAGCAACTAACTAATCTATTAAGAGTTTGCCTTGCTTTTCTAATTTTGTTTTTCTCTTGTGGGGAACCTTCTGCCTCGCTAAGCGCTGATATTTCGTCTACCAAGCTGTTAGCCTGAAACAAGGCCAATACAATTTGTAGCTAATAGATTTACTTTTCCTTGTTACAGTTGGAAGGTTTCCGTATTTCTTACTACAGATCTGATTGGTGTTTGTGGCTTCTCTCCTTAACCTCTTCCTCCTTTTTTAAATGGCAGCTGGACAAACATTTATTTAAAGTGCTTCATTTTATAAACTTTTTGGCTCTGCTATAATACAGTTCTTCCTGTCAAAACACAAAATTGGAAAGATACTGCCAAATATTTAACAGTTTAGCTCTTTTATTATATATAGGGAGTATAACTTTACTACAAAACTATGCTTACTGGGCTGGATCCAGATTTTACCATTAAAAAATAGAAAGTCTTGTTTGGGCTATAGAAAACTTTTGAGTCAATGAAGAGATTCTCACTAAGAATAGGCTATGCAATTTTGCTAATTTCCTTTTTCTAGTGTGGTCTGCAGCAACACATCCTCAAGTTTCAAAGGTATTTCCACTTCTAATGAGAATGTTTCAAGGGCTCCAGGGAAATTAGGAAACAATCTACAGGTGATTTGTGCTGCCAAATCTGGATTCTTAATCTTTATTTGGATCACAAAGTGTGAATCTATGAAGTCTAAATGGCAAAGAAGGAAGGTTCAATAAAACAGATTTTTTTTTAAAAAAAATAGCCAGCTGAAACAGTTGCATACATTACTTAATGAAATACATTATCAAAAATGCATTAATATGGGGAAAGCACTGCCCCAAATCTGCTTATAGAATCACACAGCAAAGTTAGAAAATTATTCCCAAACAATTCAAATGTACTTGTTTGTGAAACTGAGTACGGTCCAGTTCTTAACATTATTTTTAATTAAGGCCTGATAGTGTAATCGTACAAATGCAAAAAATTAAAATACATGCCAAGGGCCTTTCCAGTGGTGGGATTCAGCTAGTTCACACCACTTCGGCAGAACCGGTAGCTAATTTTTTGTTGCCCAGGCCCAGAATGGACTTCCGGAAGCGGCATCTACACAGAAAACCGGTTGTTCACATATTTGAATCCCACCACTGGGCCTTTCCCCATGTGCACCCAGACATGGCACAAATAGTCCACAACAACCTTTTTATTTCTAAGTCCCCATGATGCTGCCTTCAACTCATCCCCAACCGTACCTAAGGCAGCCTTAAAGTAGTGCTTAAGCAGGCAAAAAGTCATGCCCGTTTTACATAGCTGTGGATACAATCTGATATGCTTTCTGTGTTTATTATATCAGTGATGCTGTTAAGGTGACTGTAGGGCAATCAGATCAGCCTGGCATCAATTAGCCATTTTGGGCTGTTGCTGAGGTCAAAGCCCTTCCCCTCAGCTCTCTGGGCATGGTCTTCCAAAACCATTTCAAAATGAACTGTCCCTCTTTATCTGTTTGGTTCTTAAGTCAATCTCAGTTCAAAGATTTGGACCCAAATAGTACTTATCTAGCAGCTGTGATAGTGGTGATGGCTGTGTCATGGAACAAGAAAGACTTGGCTTTCTCCCTGCTGCTTCACAACTGCGACCCCATTCCCCCCCCCGTTGTTCATTGTAGTTTAGGCTGCTTGGAAGGTGGGTTTAGTGCTTTTCTAGAAGAATACTAAATATGTATTTAAAATTAATGCAAACAAAGCACCTTTTGAATCACTATATTTTTCAAAACAGAAGCCATAATTTTTGCACTGCCGACACAGCTGCTTTGAAAAAAATGTCCCTGGTTAATCTCTCTGTGTGTATGAATTATGCTTGCACTGGGCTTTCTAAAAAAAGTGACTGCTTTGCACACAGGAACTAACTAATGTGGAAATGGAGGTACTAACAGATCACTATTTTGAGTAATAATCAGTAATCTGATTATTGCTACAGATTAAGAGACTAGCAGTGCTGTAACTTTCTATGTAATAATGCAACTAAAATTTCTCCCATGAATTAAAATGCTTGCAATTCAAGATACCATGTACGTCCAACCAATATTTTTTATATTTAGTTACATTTATTTACATCAGGTCATTTTCAGGAACACTTTGTCATTTCCTTACATACAGCTATTACCAGTATTGTTCTTCTTCTTAATTTCTGATCAAAAGAAGAGAATACATTTGCAAAGGTTACATCTGCACAGGTAGTGTATAAGTTTTGAGGACTTACATTTCAGTAGAGCGATTTCAAACACAGCTTCTAATGTTTTTACATTTAACCTATATCTTTATTCCTTTTTGTTTATGGAAGTCCAAAGAATTTCCCACCCCACCCTGAAATAGGATATCAAACATGTCATCAAGGATAATTGATTTTCATATGGTCACAATTCTCTAGAATATTTGAGTAGTTTTAACAGATTGATTAAGTATCAATAAAATGGCTTCTCATAGTAGTAACTAAAGTGGGCTTTTGCAATGAGCCAAAATCAACTACAGAAAAAGTATCCTGCAGAATACAAAGGACTTGTTAGCATGAAAGATCAATGGGACTTTGCATTTTTGAGTGGGAAAACCAAGTCAAAACTTGTTAATTTAAACAATTCTATATTATGGAAGAGGAACTTCAGCATGGGGCAAGCTGTTGGGTTCCTCCTTGAACTAGCTCTGATTCAGCAGAAACTACCTGGACATTTGATACGCAGAGCTAATTAAGAATCTTTATTGCACACTAGACTGAAACCACTTAAATTAATTGACTGCCTTCTGTAAAATGGAGATGCAACACTTATTGTACCCTCCCAATTTAAGCCAGTGCCTCTTTCTCCTGCCTTTCCCACGGTTTAATGGACACCTTGCTCTGAGTTCCTCATGTTTATTGTGAGGTAGCAGTTGGTTATTGACATATTTGGCATTCCTGCCAAAAGAAACTTTAGCTCCCAATGTGTCTCCCACAATAGCATCATGTGTATCAAACTGAAAATAGATGGGAGGATTGATTACAGTCTCAAGTAATCTTTACTGTGGTTAATTGTGCAGAGTTAACACTTTCCCTTTTCTTTGTCTTTGTTATGAGTAAAATAGAGGGTATTTTATGGAACAATATAGCATTATAATTATTAACCATAACACAGAATTTCCATCACAATTTTGACATGTTTTTTATCCATATGGATTATGAATCTTATGGATTCCCTATGTGTATTAAATAGTAAGCATGCTTTCTTCCTATCCCACAATAAGAATTGTAAAATTGCTTCAACTTCTATCAACAAGACTCAGACCAGACAATTAACTAATGACCACAACTGAGCCCAACTTTTCTGTCACTAAATGAGATCATTTTTAAGTGAATTTGCCCCATTTTATAACCTTTCTTTTCAGTTGTTTAGTTAGTAACAAAGTTGAATGAATGAATCTGACTTTCCCATTGACTTTGCTTGCCAGAAGATTGCAAAAAATGATCACATGACTTAGGAACACTGCAACCATCATAATATGAGTTGCATAATATGAGCATCTGAATTTTGATTACCTGACCATGGGGTGCTGCAATGGTGGTAAGTGTGAGAAATGGTCATAAGCCACTTTTTTCAGTGCCACTGTAATCTTGAATAGTCACTAATTCCTCAGCCAGCATAACTGGCTCAGGAATTCTGGGAGCTGAAGTCCACAAGTCTTAAAGTTGTCAAGGTTGAGGAGCCCTGATCTATAAAAACCAGATACTGATGCAAATTATCCCTTTTCTTTGGAATGCCTGGAAAATGAGACTTTCAAATGAGACTTAGCAAAATGGTTCCTTTACCAAATGTTGTGAAGCAGCAGATATTTTAATGCATATGTCCTTTCAGGTAAGTCCAACCTAGTGGAAGCTCTTCCTAAAACCGCTCTTTTGTTACGGTTAAATTCTGGGATAGGGGACTGGCAAATAAGATTGACAGAGAATATCTCTGGTAGCGATGCATATAAGCTGAAGTTGCAAGAGTTCCCCAAAAGTAAGATATAAGAATATAATTGGCCTAAAGGCTCTCGAATCTGATTCTAATAAGCCTTCTAAAAACAAGAACCACAGTAATTACATCAGTAATACACAGGAGCAATTAAGAAACAAACTTAGATATAGGAATATTTGTTGGCTGTACACAGTGGTGGGATTCAAATATGTGAACAACCGCTTCTCTGTGCGGATGCCGCTTCCAGAAGTCCATTCTGGGTCTGGGCAACTAAAAAATTAGCTATTGGTTCTGCTGAGCTGGTGTGAACTGGCTGAATCCCACCACTGGCTATACACCTGATTGTTGTACTACTTTGTAAGTGCATCCAGTTCTTGAGTCTATCATGCCTGAAATCAGACTCGGCTGAAAATCCGATCCTGTCCCATTATTGCATTTTAGATACCTGTATCACACACATTGTGCTGTAATTGTTATAAGCTGCTTTACGAGGAAATTTGTGATTGAAATCTGAGATGAAATAAATACTATAATGGTAATAGCAAGGTTCATTCATATATTCCTTCAAACATAAAAGTTAACAAGTCTTTAGAACGAAGACATATTTTAGCTACTCACCTTGCTATAGTCTATTAAGTCTCCTTTGCCTTGACTCTTAAACCATGTAAGAAAAACAAATAAAAATTATATTATTACAACCCTGTAAATCATAAGCCGCACAAAACTCTAAGAAAGATCTCTCATGTTGTGCTAAATAGGTGAATGTTTTCCTGTCAGTCATGTCCAACTCTAGGGCATGGTGCTCATCTCTGTTTCTTGGCCAAGGAAGCAGCATTGTCTGAAGACAATTTCCATGGTCATGTGGCCAGCCCGGCTTTTATGCCAAAGGCAACACGGAATGCTGTTACCTTCCCACGAAGGTGGTACATATTAATCTACTTGCATTTGCATGCTTCAGAACTGCTACGTGAGCAGGGGTAGGGGCAAGTAACAGGAGCTCACCCCGTCACATGGAGCTGGGCTCTCGAACCCAGGCTATGAGTTCTCCAGCTGACAAGTTCAGCTTCTTTTACTACTGAGCCATCATGCCCCTGTGCTAAATAGAAAACCCATATATTTCATCAGGTTTAAAGACTCACATTTGGCTTGTCAGGTGTCTACTAATTCCTGTTCTACTGACATCTTTCAGAGAGTGGACATGATACACGCTACAAAAGAAACTACCGTAGTTCTTTCAACCACTTCTCAAGTGGAACTCTTTCTTTTGTTTCCGAGAAAGACTGTGATGAGTTTATGGATCAATGAAGCATGGCCCTTAGCCATATTCCGCATTACTTTCCTCTATGCAATTACAGTCTCATGAGAAAGAATGGAAGCAAGGAAATTACATCCACCTCTGCATGTAACCTATAGTAGCAAATACAGCTCTGAAGGATCAGCCTTCTACAAAGACAGGGCTTGCAACGTGGAAAATATACACTGTCAAACTTTTTGAAGGGTTCCCCAGAAAGAGAAGAAGGAAGGGAGCAAGATGGGGAGTTTCACTCTATTTCCCATTTAAACTACCTATTGAAGAAACAGTCATATATTAAAAGACTTATATCAAGGCTTACATTAAAATGCTTCTATTGAGATAGCTTTTGGGAAGGAACCACAATCATAAGTAAGCAATAATATCAAAGCTAGTAGGCTAACATGTGCCCAACCAGCTGTGTTTTGAATTATAATCACATATGCTTGAGCAGCTCATTCCCTCTGCTTTATGCTAGAAATATTCAATTATTGTAAAACTAAAACTGTAGGGAAGGCAAGCATATTTTAAATTACATTTATTTTTGTATTTTAATAAAATTGAGTGTAACCGGATGAATTTTAAAAAGAAATTACCATAAGAATCATAGACTTTATGCACATAAACACACTCAACAGTAGCACATTTAATTTCTAGGTCTACTAAATAATAAACATGCAGAAATAGGAAAACTGTTTCTTTTTATAAATGCTTAATGTTCTTCAAATGGAAGAAAAAAGAGAATTAGAACAATAATACCTTTTGTGGAACTGTATAGTTGGATTCAGACTCTAAAGCTGTGATTAATGTTAACTATGATTTTTTTTAAAACAAATTAATAGGAGGGGATGATTATGATATTGCAAGATGTACAAACATAGCCACTATAGATATAACTACTTATTTACCTCTTTAATTTGCTTAATCCAGACTTCTCTTCCAACAAACTCTTGATGGAATATTACAGGAGCAGAATTTAAGTTAAATGGCAGGGAATCATTCGAATTTCCATCAATAAATGGCTGAATATCAGCATTTAGCTGAAAGAAGGGGATTAAAATTAAGAATAGTTATCCACAGGAAATGCATTTAACAACAACTAATATTATGTGAGGTTTTAAACGTACAAATTGTAAAAGACAAGAAAAAATGCCTTGTACCAATGCACACTATTTAGGGGTTTTCAAGTTGTTCCAATGTCTATTTGATTAAAATATAACAAGAAGCATATTTTGAAGAAGTCTGTGAGCATGCACAACACTATATAAATAGAATAGGATCTCTGGAAATATCAGGGATGGACGTTAGATTCTGTTCCTGCCAGGACACTGCCTCCATATACCGTATTTCCCGATATATAAGACGACTTTCTGAAGCATGTAAATTGGCTCTGAAGTCGGGGGTCGTCTTATACACCGAGTCATCTTATACGCCGGAAATTACGGTAGTTTATTTATTTATTTATGAGACTTATATACCGCTTTAAGTGCAAGCACTCTCTAAGCAGTGTACACCAGTAAGCAATGTATATGTATTTACATTGCCCCCAACAATCTGGGTCCTCATTTTACCTACCTCGGAAGGATGGAAGGCTGAGTCAACCTTGAGCCGGTGAGATTTGAACCGCTGACCTGCTGAACACAGTCAGCTAAAGTGGCCTGCAGTACTGCACTCTAACTGCTGCGCCACCTCGGCTCATAAGTTTACGGCGTATAAGATGACTTTCTAGGCATGTAAATTGACACGGAAGTCGGGGGTCATCTTATACGCCGAGTCGTCCTATACACCAGAAAATACGGTACATAATTTTATTTCAAATGTTGGTGGTTTGGACTTGTAGGCAAACAAAGTGAACTTTAAAAAGTAAACCAAATCTGGTGACATTTGAAGTGACTTTTTTGATGTGGATACCGAGCTGAAAAGAAGGTTAACTCTTATTTCAGTGGTGGCAAACCTATGACACGGATGCCAGAGGCGGCACTCAGAGCCCTCTGTGTGGGCACGCGTGCCGTCGCCCCAGTCCTAGGCCTTCAGCTGGGTTTTATAAAACCTTTTTGCTTTAGGCCTCCACCCCCATGTGCAAAAAAAAAAAAAAGGTACAATCAATCAGTCAATTTCAACTTCTCACGGAAAAAAAAAGATCTTGCGAAGTTGGAATTGATTGATTGAACTTTTTAATCCCACCCAGTCTGCCTTTACCACAGCCACGCCCACCCAATGGGCCACACCCACCTGGCACCCAACGATGCATAAGTGGGTTTTGGGTTGCAGTTTGGGCACTCGGTCTCTAAAAGGTTTGCCATCACTGTCCTATTTCAGCCTTCAATAGGAGTGAATGTCAATAACTCATTAATCAGAGAGAAAGTAATATAGACAATTGGCGATATTAATCATATGAGATTTGAATCAGCTCTCAGATGTTGTTATCTATATATTTGTGGGTTATTCTCTTCAGGTTAAGCAATATAATACAAAGTGCAAAAAACCCCAAAACAAAGGCAGAAGAGCAAAGAAGTGGAAATTTAACTGAACCGATCTTACCCCAACACCATTCCCTTAAATAGGGGTCTTCAATCTTGGCCCTTTTATGACTTGTGGACTTCAACTCCCAGAATTCCTCAGCCAGGCACGCCTGGCTAAGGAATTCTGGGAGTTGAAGTCCACAAGTCATAAAAGGGCCAAGTTTGAAGACCCCTGCCCTATAACTTCCAACCTTGTTTCTGTTGTGTCTACCCACTAATCTACAAACTGCTTTTTCTTCTTTAATCAATTTGTCTCTCATTTTGAAGATCCCATCAATCCCATCCAAACATGATTGTCTCACTCTCCCACTTCCTCTTAACTTATTCACTTCGTACATTTGTTTGACCCTCATTCATTCTCTTTATGTGACAAAGCTCACCTCAACATATTTCTCTTCTATTGGTTGCACAATTTTGTGTTCAATCTATATCAGTGATGGCGAACCTATGGCATGGGTGCCACAGGTGGCACTCATAGCCCTCTCTGTGGGGCATGCACACCGTCACCCCAGTCCTAGGCTTTCAGCTGGGTTTTATAAAACCTTTTCACTTTAGGCCTCTACCGCTGTGTGCAAAAAAAAAAAAGTTCAATCAATCAGTCAATTTCAACTTCTTGCGGGAAAAAAAGATCTTGGAATTGATTGATTGAACTTTTTAGTCCCAACCAGTCTTCCATTACCACTGCAGCCACGCCCATCCAATGGGCTACACCCACCCAATGGGCCACATCCAGCAATGGCCACACCCACCCGACACCCAACGATGCAGAAGTGGGTTTTGGGTTGCAGTTTGGGCACTCAGTCTCTAAAAGGTTCGCCATCACTGATCTATATTCACTAATAATAATAATAATGATGATGATGATGATGTTGGAAGGGACCTTGGAAGTCATCTAGTCCCCCGCTCAGGCAGGAAACCCTAAATCATTGGAGCATTCACAGTTTCTGGAGGCAGGTTATTCCACTGATTAATTGTTCTGTCAGGAAATTTCTCCTTAGTTCTAGGTTGCTTCTCTCTTTGGTTAGTTTCCATTCTTTGCTTCTTGTCCTGCCTTCAGGTGTATCATCCATTCATTCTTTTTTTAAAAAAAAGTTTTTTATTTATAGTACAGTTAAAACAAAAATGGACGTAATGTAACATTCCAGTATGCGTATTTCTAACAATTTGTTCCTCTTCTTACATATAGTTCTTAATCTCTATATATACATACATATTTTTCTATACAATACAATATCTAATTTATTTCTCTATATACTAACATTCAATTATATATATTTCTATCTTAACACTAGCTTATAACCCGAACAGTCCCCCTTGATTCACACCAATAATAAAATTTGTCCCAGATTTCAAAATAATCTGACTCCATTGTGAGCCTATCATCCATTAATTCTTATTTGACCCTATCTTTAATTGTTTCACCACACATACTGCAGTTAGTTACTTTTAACCGTTCAGTCTTGTGCCGACTCTTGGCAACTTTATAGGCAAATGCTCTCCATGCTACCCTGTCAAGCTCACAGTAGCTCTAAACTCCAAGTTATGTCCTATACAGGATATCTGAAGAGGAGACTGTCTATGCCTTAGATTGGTAGTTCGACAATGATACACAATCTCTATTCTGTCAATCTCTGCAGCAATTAATGTTGTCCCTCACCTGCCCTATCCGGCTTCTCTTCCCGTCTTCTCAGCCTTGAGCATTCAAAGGTGAAGGCAAGATCACATACAGCTCCAAATTCAACAAGATTTAACATAGGAGATTGGCAAGGGGATTGTAGCCAGGGGACTGTTGTGACAGCAGAAACCAACGCAGCTGCAAATGCTGCAATCCCGTTACACTGGCTCCCAAGACTAAATTAAAATGTGATAATAGCCATTGTTCCCTTCTCAGTGTCTGCTTGGGAAAGGAAGAGAAAGGCCTCCACTGCCGGAGCAACAGGATGGCCAAACAGCAAATGTGTTAGGAGAGAAATGGTTCCATTTACCCAGAATAGTCATAGTTGTTCCTTTCTCTCTCTCCCTGTTTTATAATTAAACCTTTCAACCTCAGGTTGCTTTGGCCTCTTACGGATCAAATTGGGAGGGGGTGGGTGAGTGTGTACTATATTGGAGCAAGTTGTCTGTTAAGAATCACCAAATAAGGGCAGAAATTATTTCATGAAAAACCATCCTTTTGGAAATGGCCAACATCTTCAACACTCATTCAAATGTCAGTTAAAAAGTTTCTCGTTTCAGATGATCTTTACATAGCTATTGAGGTAAGGTTATTCCAATAGTTTAACTGAATCTTTATGTTGATGGTTTCATTTGTTTGTTGTAATACATTACAGCTACTACCTGCCATGCATACTATGAATAAAATGGGATGCAATTTTCTAGATAAATACATTGATAATTTCCAGGGCAGCAAGCACCCTCTTTTGTCCCCTTCCACAGATGCTCAAGCAGCTACCATAACTCCCCAAATCTCTCTAATTCCATACTGAGCTCCCTGTAAACCTTCTGCTCTCTCCTCCTATTCACTCACATTAGCTTCCTGGGATTAGTTGGCTACTTTGACAGCTGTCTCAGTTTTAAAGGCTGTTAAGTATATCGACATAGTACAGTGAAATGAATGCTGTGATATGCGAAATACCTCATATAAGTATCTTTCCATGCAGTTTAGTCACAAATGAATTAAACGTGTAAGGGTTGTTGTTTTTTTCTTTTAAGAGACATATATTATCTACGGAAAGACACGCTTCTTGAAAAAGAATGCTGGCTGCTTGGCCATTTGGGAAGCTTTTAAAGAAGAGGGAAGTCATACCTTGTGACACATAGACATGTGTTTCCCATACATAAACGCCATCTTCTGAATTCCTGCCGCATGCTTTGCCAACTCCATTGCAGCCTTGCAGCCTTTCGCCAGCAAAACACAATGAGATTGGAAAACCTGCTCTTTCCAATCTGATATTCTGATGTCGTCTGTAAGAATGTTTTCCTAGAAACACAAAGAAAGATGTTACATATTCTAAAAATAATCAGCAATATTAAAACAATGTACTTATTTTTTTTTAAATATTTTTTTTTATTTTTCATTTATTCATACAAAATACAATTCAATTAAAATCCTAACCATTGGTACCACCTGCCCATTCCCCCCAGGCCGCGTCCACCCTCTCTAATCCTTCCCTACTTCCCTCCTCTTTCTCTCCTCCCCTCCTACTCTCTTCCCCTCCCCTTCTCCTCTAACCATCCTACTTCCTCCCTGCTCCTTCCTCCCCTCTCATCCCTCTCACACACATGAACGCAGCATAGGGGAAATGCCCAAGCATTTACCATGACTATATTATCATTACCCACCCACTCACCCACCCACCCACCCTCAACCCTCCCCCCCTCGCTTCCCAGAGCAGAGTACAGGGTTATTAATAAGAAAGTTAACAATAATAAAAAAAGAAAAAAGAAAAAAAAAAAGAAAAAAAACATCATACTTAACCTTTAACTCCCCTTAAATTAAGTCATATAAACAAATCTCTACAACAGTTACTATAAAATTTACTCATAAAGTAAATGAAACTTTATAGTCCCATATTTTTTCTGAATATAATCTATCCATCTTCTCCATACAATAATATATCTTTCTTGTGTATGATCCTTCAAATAAGCAGAAATTTTTGCCATTTCTGCAAAGTTAGAAACTTTAAATATCCATTCTTCTAAAGTAGGCAACGAAATCCTTCTTCCAATACGAGCCTACTAATAACCTTGCTGCAGTTAATAAATTCAACATTAAAGTAGTTTCTTTGTCATTTAAATCCACAAAGATACCCAATAGGAATAATTGAGGGGTGAACTTTATCTTCCTTTTAAAAATCTTTTGAATGTTCCACCAAATCATAATCCAAAAAGCCTTTACCTTTTTACAATTCCACCAAACATGAAAATATGTCGCATCCATATTACCACATCTCCAACATTTGGGTTGTAAATTTGGATACATACAAGATAATTTTTTAGGATCTAAATGCCATCTGTAAAACATTTTATAAAAATTTTCCCTCAAATTTTGAGCTTGTGTAAATTGAACATTTCTAATCCAAATTGTTTCCCATAAGTCCAATGGGATCGGTTCCTGGATATTCTGAGCCCATTTAATCATATAGTCTTTAACCAATTCTGTTTCAGAGTCTAATTCTATTAAAGCATTGTAAATTCTTTTTATATGGGCCTGACTCTGATCTTTAATCTGAATAACCAGATTTCCATCTTCTAGTGTTATTCCTTCTTTCTTATCTACAGTCCACCTGTCCACTATTTATAAATATTGAAACCATGACTGTAGAATATTTTCCTGCCTTAACACATCTAGAGATTTTAAATGCCAATCCGAACCTGACCAAGTTAATAATTCTTTATACGAAATTTTATCAAAGTTCATCCCCTTAGAAATCCCCTCAATTGCATGTCTAGGAATCCCCCAGATAGGTATTTTATAGTTTAACCTATAATAATACTTTTTCCAAACTCGAAGTAAGGCACTCCTCAAAATATGTGATTTGAAAGCCCGGTCCACTTTCTTATTAAAAATTAAATATGCATGCCAACCATACATTAAATCCCACCCTTCAAGAGCAAGAATATCCTTATTTGTTAAATTAAGCCAATCACTTATCCAAGTTAAGGCGGCTGCATCATAGTATAATTTCAAGTTAGATGCTTTAAGTCCTCCTCTTTCTCGGGCATCTTGCAAAATCTTAAACTTAACCCTTGGTTTTTTCCCAGCCCAAATGAATTTATTGATACCCTTCTGCCATTCCTCCAAATTTACATCTTTTTTAAAAATAGGTATCATTTGAAACAAGAAAAGAAACTTTGGTAGAACATTCATTTTTACAGCTGAAATTCTCCCCAACAGTGACAATTGCAGTTTTTTCCAGTCATTTAAATCCTTTTGCCCATAGTAATTCATAATTATTTTTATACAATTTTCCATTTGAAGCAGTTAAATATACTCCCAGATATTTAACCTTTTTCACCATCTGAAAACCTGTGGCTTTAACCAAACTTTCCTTATCATTGGCTGACATATTCTTAGATAATATCTTAGTCTTATGGTTATTGACTTTAAAACCAGAAACTTTTCCATACTGTGTTATAAGTTCTAATAGACAATCAACTGCTCTAATCAGTTGTTCCAAAATCAAGACCAAATCATCCGCAAAAGCCCGTAATTTATACTCATTTTTATGCCCTTGGTTACCGTTGATTCTCGAATCTGGATCAACAAAATCTCCAATGTTAAAACAAATAACAATGGAGATAATGGACATCCTTGTCTTGTCTCTTTTTCAATATTAAAAGTCTCAGTCAATCCCCCATTAACAACAATTTGAGCAGATTGTTGCTGATATATAGCTTTAAGTGCATGTAAAAAATTATCCCCAAAATTCATTTTCTCTACCAGTGAGAATAAGAATTGCCAATCTAATTGATCAAAGGCTTTTTCAGCATCCAAAAATATAAAAGCCACAGGAATCTGATTGTTCTTATCCAAATACTCAATTAAGTTAATAATTTGTCTAACATTATATTTCATGTATCGCCCTGTTATGAATCCTGATTGATCACTGTGAATCAAATCCTTCATAACCTGCATTAATCTATTTGCCAAAATTTTTGTAAAAATCTTGTAATCTACATTTAATAATGATATCGGCCTATAATTCTTAGGCTCTGTAAGATCTTGATCCTCCTTCGGAATCAATGATATAAACGCTCTTTTCCAAGAAGGAGGAACTTGTGCTCCCAGCAAGATACTATTAAAAAGCTCCTTTAATGGCTCCAACATTTCTTCATATAAATTTTTATAATACGTCGACGTCAATCCATCTGTTCCTGGAGACTTTCCCACCTTTAACTGTTTGACAGCTAAACCAATTTCCTCCACAGTAATTAAACAATTCATCCCATTTTGCTGTTCCTCAGAAAGTTTAAGAAAATGTACTGATTGTAAATATTTATCTATATCCATTCCCTTTATATTATCACTTGAGTGTAGTTTTGTGTAAAAATCTAAAAAACTCTTTTTAATCAAATTTTGCTGAAAAAAATGTACTTATTTTAATACGTGCCACTTGAAGCAATTCATTCTGCTGGCTTAAGAAACAGAAATTATAGAAATAAATGGTTTTTTTTTTTAAAAAAAATGTTAGGCTTCTGAGGAATATTCTCAATATCTTCCTCCCTCTAGCATATGTCTCCCTTAACTTATAAACCAAGCTATAAATTCCTGTGATCTATATAGATCTCTGTGCTGGGATTATAAAGTGACTGAATTATAGCTAACTAATAATTATCACACCACTAATGTAAGTATGATTACAAAGCAAAACAAAACAAAAATTTAAATGTTAGCCTGGAGGAAAATATGAGTCTATAAAAAGTAGGTAGTTACATGAAAAGCTTTGTGATGGACAGAGGAAAACTGAACACTTCCTTGCTTGCTTTCTAGAATCATCCCCTTCTGTTGCTTCAAAGGAATAGTAACAAAAGGAGTTTCAGAACATAAGACATAAATATACAAATAAGGCCAGTTTCGTCTAATGGTTAAGGCACCAGGTTAGAAAGCAAGAAACCATAAATTGAAGTCCTGCCTTAGCTAGGAATCTTGGCCTTGAGTTATTTGTACAATTATAAAGGCATGATATAAATAAACAAACAAACATCAAGCTGCCTTCATACTAAGTCCTGTTATAAACACATTTAAATCTGCCTGGGATAGTCCAACAACTACTGCGACTCAAGATCTTAGGAAGAAATTTCAAGAACCCTAGATACTACTGATTTAACCTGAGATCCCCTGATAAAGAAAAACCCCATAAAGAACCTGCGTTCATGCTCATTTTTATAGGAAATGTAATATCCATACACTGTAGGTTGATATGATATATATTATTCAAAATGGTTCACTAATATTTTGATTATATCTAGAACTTTTTATTACTGCCATGACCTCTTTCTTATCTATTATCCCCCATGAAGAGACTTAATGGTCTCTATCAAGAGTAAATAATTGCAAAAAAGCACAGAATCTATTTGGTCACTGCCTTCAGGATGGACTGGAAGAGAGCTAAAAATCCAGGCAAAAGGTGATTGTGCCATCTACACAATTCTGGCTCTGTGAGTTACTTCAATTAAATTGCTCAAAAGAGAGAACTAAATTTGCATAATTTCTAGCAAGGTATTATCTGACATGAAATTTGTAAGAAATGATATTTCTGTTGTAATCTTCCTCCTTTGTGGCCACTGCCAAAGAATGCTGTGTTGCAAGGAGATAATATGAGACTGACGGGAAAAGTAATACAATTCCTCAAAGCCAGCTTGCTGAACGTTGTTATCATTTCATTTCATTGTTTTCAACTTCCATGAAGGAGGTGATAATGGAAAAAGAGAAGGCAATAAAGGAAACCACACATTTAGTCTTCTACGTGTGATAGTTTAGTAAGTGGCAATCATGTTTAGTTTGGAACATTTCCTGGATTTCAAGCATAGATAAGAATGGACAACCAAACAAAATGTTAGTTAGCTGCCATTTTATGCAATGTTATAATGAGCCTTGAAGATGAAATGTTTTGGAATTGGTGAATGAGGACAACAGAGCAATAGGGATCAAAATGCGTGCTTTAAAAACTCGACAGTCAATTGCACGTTCACCTGAGATCTGAATTACTATTTACTTATTAATTTATATGCTGACCATCTCACTCTGAAAAGTGATTTTATTCATTTTTTATTTAAATGACTATGATTTCATTTAAACACTGTTAAACCTTCATCTTTATTTATGGAGAAGAATCGTAGGACTGACAAAAGTAACAGATTTCGAAAGGAGTTAAGTTTGTTGTCAAGTAAGGCACATGTTCATTTTCAGTTTTTACATTTTTACCTAAAATGAATAATCTCAGTAGGCTCAGTATAAATGTCTTGCTATTATGATTT